TAAAAATCTAACAGAAATAAAATCAGTATACATCGAATATAATGCATATGCATGATGCTTTATTGCATAAGTGACCCCTATGTTAAATTTTTGCGATCGTGATTGCTAAAACTGGTCAATTTATCATAAATCCGAGATTAACAAATTCAGATTCATGATAAATTGGTTGGCTTTAGCAATCACGTTTGCAATCACAATCATTTTAATCAAAAATAACACTCAATATATATACGTACAATCATGTCCAGAAGTTTGATTTAAAAAAAGTATTTTGAATTCTATTATTTTAATAAAAAACTGTAAGAACTGATAACAATGCTAACTATTATAATTTGGTTATAAGTTTATTTGAAATAATGTACTTATATTGATAAAATTTTGATCTCAACATGCTACAAATTTAATAATGAATATTTTGTATTCATTCAATTTGACTCCAATTCCCAATAACAACCGTGAATATTTCACCAAATTCTAATGTTTCAGATTTTTTATAACAATATATTTTTCTTTTTAAACCCAATTCCAATAATATTGATATATAATATATGTATCTGAATATGAACTTAATTTATTAAAAGGCAAAAGATAGAAATGTAATAAAAAAAATCAAGTATCGCAGAAATAAAGTTGTTACCTACCCGTTAATTGCCCAATGCATCAATTTCATTTAAAATTGTATCTGGTACACGGCGATGCGACTGATATTTTTTCACAGTATATTCTGTGGGTTTTCCTGTTAAACCTTTGCGATATACATCCATATATCTAAAAGACTTCCGGGCATATCGTCTAATTTCAGTGAGAGGCACTGATTCAAGAGCTTGTGGCACAGTTCTCTTCAAACCTTCCCATGTATAGTCACAGTGATTGCGTGCATATCGCTTTGCTAACCCCCAAAAATTTTCTATATAATTTAACTCACAATGAAACTTTAGATAAAAAATAACTTCATAACCTGCGGAAATAATTGCTTCTTCAACTTTTCCACGTTGTGCTCTAAAATCTGGTTGGTTTGCCATTGTTGTTCTAGCGCAGCAATCAGTTCTTCCTTGTTCACACCCTTTTTTACATGTCAATCTTATTCCATCACGCCACAATCCCCTCTCACTCAATACTTGCTTTAGGCCCTTAGGTTTACCACAGAGATCAGGGTTTTCATAATCTTCAGGAAAGCACATGTCTTGCGGGATATTATCTCCGTATGTAGTACTTCTATTGTTTGATAATATTTAATGTTAATATATTGTTGTAAAAATTTAAAATATTTATAATAATGTACAAACCTCATTTTTGGCTGTTTTCCACCAGGAGATAAATTCATGTTTTTTGCTAGAAGGGCATCTTCGGCATACACACAATGACCAGTTGCATTATCAAACGCAAAAAGGGCCTTTGCACCTGGAAACCGAGCTTCAAATATTGGGATTGCACGGTTTATCACCTGATCCACAAGATCATCTGAATTCCACCATCCATCACCATCTTTACTTGGGTAAGTT